TCAGAGAGGGTTTGGTCAGAGAGGATGTGATAAGAGAGGGTGTGGTCAGAGAGGGTTTGGTCAGAGAGGATGTGATCAGAGAGGGTGTGGTCAGAGAGGATGTGGTCAGAGAGGATGTGATCAGAGAGGGTTTGGTCAGAGAGGATGTGGTCAGAGAGGATGTGATCAGAGAGGGTGTGGTCAGAGAGGGTGTGGTCAGAGAGGGTGTGGTCAGCTCAGCGGCGGTGTCCTCAGGGAGTTCCTGATGTTTTCTGCACCCTGAGCTGATCGTGGAGTCAGAGGGTCTGATTGATGAATCATCAGTAAACCTGTGAGCAGATCTGCATGTTAATCTGTGGTAATTACAGATAAATGACAGTTTGGAGCTGCACTGCATTCAGAGGGACGTGGAGGAGGAGGAGGTGGAGGAGGAGGAAGCGGTGGAGGAAGGGAAGGAAGAGGAGGAAGGGGAGGAGGAGGAGGAGGAGGAAGGGAAGGAGGAGGAGGAAGGGGAGGAGTTATTTATTCAGAAAACAAATAAAACGCTGATGTGTTTCCTCCTCAGGTCTCCATGTTCTCCTCAGCAGGACTGAAGTGGCGTCTCGTTTCCCCGAGCAGCTTCCTCTGGTCAGTGACATCATCATCACCACATGTAAACTGTATCATTCCATCACTGTTAACATGTGTGTGTGTGTGTGTGTGTGTGTGTGTGTGTGTGCAGGGTGAGCTCAGCCCCCCCCTCCTCATCGAGCTCCCCCTCCGCTGCCTGGTGCTCTGTGCCCAGGTGCATGCTGGGATGTGGAGGAGGAACGGTTTCTCTCTAATCAACCAGGTGAGTCCTGATCAGACATCCTATAATACTCATCCAGCAGGTCCCCTGTGTTTGACACTAACAGCAACTGCCATCTCCTCTGTTTGTTTGTTTGTTTGTTTGTTTCAGATTTATTATTATCACAACGTGAAGTGCAGAGTGGAGATGTTTGATAAGGACATCATCATGCTGCAGGTACAAACAACAACAACAACAGCAACAGCTGTTTGTTTATTTGGTGTGTGTGGTTTCCTGAGGGTGTTTATTGATTGTTGTTTGTTTGTTTATGTGTAGGCGGGGGCGTCCATGATGGATCCAAACCACTTCCTGATGATTGTCCTTAGTCGGTTTGAACTGTTTCACATCTTCAGCTCCGCAGACTGTCGCAAGAGGTTCAGAGAGGCCAACAAGGTCTGTGCTGATTCTACTGCTAGTCTACTGTGATTCTACTATGACTACTATGACTCTCCTGTGATTCTACTGTGATTCTACTATGACTCCTGTGACTCTCCTGTGATTCTACTGTGATTCTACTATGACTACTGTGACTACTGTGATTCTACTATGACTACTGTGATTCTACTGTGATTCTACTATGACTACTGTGACTACTGTGATTCTACTGACTACTGTGATTCTACTGTGACTCTCCTGTGATTCTACTGTGATTCTACTGTGATTCTGCTATGACAACTGTGACTTTCCTGTGATTCTGCTGTGATTCTACTATGACTACTGTGACTACTGTGATTCTACTGTGACTCTCCTGTGATTCTACTGTGATTCTGCTATGACAACTGTGACTTTCCTGTGATTCTGCTGTGATTCTACTATGACTCCTGTGACTCTCCTGTGATTCTACTGTGATTCTACTATGACTACTGTGACTCTCCTGTGATTCTACTGTGATTCTACTGTGACTCTGCTATGACAACTGTGACTTTCCTGTGATTCTGCTGTGATTCTACTATGACTACTGTGACTACTGTGATTCTACTGTGACTCTCCTGTGATTCTACTGTGATTCTGCTATGACAACTGTGACTTTCCTGTGATTCTGCTGTGATTCTACTATGACTCCTGTGACTCTCCTGTGATTCTACTGTGATTCTACTATGACTACTGTGACTCTCCTGTGATTCTACTGTGATTCTACTATGACTACTTTGACTCTCCTGTGATTCTACTGTGACTCTACTGTGACTTTACTGTGATTCTACTGTGACTCTACTGTATGTCTGACAGGATGTGGTCCAGCAGAACAACACTCTGATCGAGGAGATGCTTCATCTCATCATCATGGTCATCGGTCAGTCCGAAACGTTATTTAAACAGTGTCACTCACACCATCAGAGACATGGTTACCATGGAGACGTGTTAGACAAGTGGAAATATGGGATGGACAGTGATGAAGTGTGTGTGTGTGTGTGTGTGTGCGTGTGTGTGTGCGTGCAGGTGAGCGGTATGTGTCAGGTGTGGGACAGGTGGAGCCGTTTGATGAGGTCAGAAGAGAAATCATCCACCAGCTGTCCATCAGACCCATGGCTCACAGTGAGCTGGTTAAAGCTCTGCCAGAGAACGTGAGACACCTGTCTGTCTGTCTGTCTGTCTGTCTGTGTGTCTGTCTGTCTGTGTGTCTGTGTGTGTGTCCGTGCGTCCGTCTGTCTGTGTGTCTGTCTGTCTGTGTGTGTGTCTGTCTGTCTGTGTGTCTGTGTGTCCGTGCGCCTGTCTGTCTGTCTGTCTGTCTGTCTGTCTGTGTGTCCGTGCGTCTGTCTGTCTGTGTCTGTCTGTCTGTCTGTGTGTCTGTGTGTGTGTCCGTGCGCGTGTCTGTCTGTCTGTGTGTCCGTGCGTCTGTCTGTCTGTGTGTCTGTCTGTGTGTCTGTCTGTGTGTCTGTCTGTCCGTGTACGTGTGTCTTTCTGTCTGTCCGTCCGTCCGTGTCTGTCTGTCTGTCCGTCCGTCTGTCCGTGTGTGTGTCCGTGCGTCTGCCTCCAGTTAATGTCTCTCTTGTCATATTTCAGGGTAATAAGGAGACAGGTCTGGAGAGAGTCATTGACACTGTGGCTTCATTCAAGTTAGTTTCTCTAACATCTCCACCTTAAATGCACATGGTCACCTGAATACTGTTGTCAGTACTGACAGTGTGTGTGTGTGTGTGTGTGTGTGCGCGCGCGCGCGTGTGTGAACAGGAAGCCAGGTGTAACAGGTAGAGGTCTGTATGAGCTGCGTCCTGAGTGGAACAAACACTTTAACCTCTACTTTCATCACTACAGCAGAGCCGACCAGTCCAAGGTACACGTACACACACACGCACACGTACACACACACACACACACACACACACACACAGGTGTTGACAGGTGTGTCGTCATGGTAACAGAGTGTGGTGTGTTGCAGGCTGAGGAGGCTCAGAGGAAGCTGAGGAGACAGAACGGAGAGGACACAGGTAAACAGTGAGACGCAGGAACAGCAAGTAACCTGAGTGATGATGTCACATTGCTAACATGTGTGTGTGTGTGTGTGTGTGTATGTCTGCAGCCCTCCCCCCCCCTCCCCCCCCCCCTCTCTGTCCTCTGTTCGGCAGCCTGGTAAACCTGCTGCAGTGTGACGTCCTGTTGGCTGTAGAGGGCGCTGTGCTGCAGTGGGCCGTGGAGCCCAGCGGGGGGGGCTGGACCGAGTCCATGCTGCAGAGGGTGAGACACAATCAGACAGACGAGGGGGGGGGGGGTATTTATACTCCTGTATGATGTCAGCATGATTAACTGTGCGTGTACTTCCTGTCCTGTGTGTCCAGGTGCTTCACCTGGTGGGTGTGGCTCTGTTGGAGGAGCAGCAGCAGCTGGAGAGCAGCAGCAGAGATGATGACATCACCTTTAACTACACCTGCAAGATCACACGTAAGTGCACACACACTATTCACTCGTTAGTCTGTCCCAAGGGTTAATGACACACACCTGGGGACACTGGTTAGTCTGTCCCAAGGGTTACGTCCAACAGTAGGATTTTAAATTCAATTCTGGATTTTACAGGGAGCCAGTGCAGAGAAGCTAAAACAGGAGAAATATGATCTTGTTTCTTAGTTCCTGTTAGTACACGTGCTGCTGCATTCAGAATTAGCTGGAGAGTTTTTAAGGACTTACTAGAGCTACCCGATAATAGAGAGTTACAGTAATCCAGCCTAGAGGTAACAAAAGTGTGGACCAATTTTTTTCTGCATCTTTTCGGGTCAGGATAGGCCTAATTTTCACAATATTACGCAGATGAAAAAATGCAGTCCGTGAGGTTTGTTTTAAATGAGAATTAAAAGACAAATCTTGATCAAATGTTACTCCGAGGTTTCTTACGGTAGTGCTAGAGGCCAGAGCAATGCCATCTAGAGAAACTATGTCATCAGATAAAGAGTCTCTGAGTTGTTTGGGGCCAAGAACCATAACTTCAGTTTTGTCTGAATTTAACATCAGGAAATTGGTGCTCATCCAGGTTTTTATGTCTTTAAGGCATTTAATGTCATCACTCTGTATGCTCGTCATGATGTCATCACTCTGTATGCTCGTAATGATGTCATCACCCTATGTTTGATGTGATTACAGCACAGTGGTGGCAGAGGAATAAATAATGAATCATGGTGGGGTGTTTTTACTCTGCTCACAACTAACATATTTTATTTATGTTTCTATTTTTAAAATCTTTTGCGACCAAATGTGTTAATTTTGTAAAATCTGATGAAAAGTTTTATTTTTGTTTATGTTTTAACAACAGATTTTTGATTCTGAGTCGTTCAGAGTTTAGGGAGGTGAAGTGTTTGCAGTTACTCAAGGAAGTGACATCACAGACAGCACAAGTATCAGTGTAGGCTCTGCTGAACTGTCTATGTGTCAGAGTGTAAAGGGTTAAAGGTTCTGACACCTGCAGGTGCCCTACATCATCACCTGTCTCACTGTGTCCAGGTCCAGGTGAAGCTCCCAGTACTTCAGGAAGTGTCCTGGCTCTGTTGGAGAGTCTGCAGAACGCTCCTCACCTGGAGGTCCACAAAGACATGATCACCTGGATCCTCAAGGTGAGCTCTGATGTCACTGTGAGGTCACAGCTTGCAGGTTAACGTCTCCTGTTTAATCCACCTGGTGTGTTCCTTCAGTTTACACATGTTGTTCCATCAGATATGACCTCATAAGTGAGAACCAATCACAAGCTGAGAACTAAGAAGTTTAAAAGAACGAAACTGAACGGGACACAACACCTGTAAACATCTGTAAACAAACACCTGTAAACACCTGACTCTCATCCCTGATTGGACGGTGGATATTTCCTTCCATAGTTGTGTTGGTGAAATGAAACTGGTCCTCAGGGCGTCCCACAGGGCTCCGTCCCACAGGGCTCCGTCCCACAGGGCTCCGAGCCACCGGGCCGAGCCACAAGGCGTCCTTCCAGTCGGGCGTCTGTTGCACAGGGCTCCTTCCTGGGCCCCTGTTTATCCTCAGTCACATCATGGAGTCTGTGTCTCAGGGACTGTCTGTCCTCTGGCGGTTTGACTTTCGGGTGGTGATGTAATGTGTGTTTGTGTGTTCAGATGGTGGCGAACATCAAGACAATGAGAGAACGAACATCCTCTACCTCCACCATCACCATCAGCCCAGGACAGGAACTGGAGGAGGTAAAACTTTATTAGCATCAGAAGACTTTCTCCTGCTGCTGCTGCTGCTGCTGCTTATTGTTTCTGTCAGAATGAGATCAGTACTGATTATTGATCAGCTGTTGGGTGGTGTCGTGTCCCTGCAGACGGTGCGAGACAAAGATAAGGCGGAGAGGAAGAGGAAGGCGGAGATGGCTCGTCTGAGGAGAGAGAAGATCATGGCTCAGATGTCGGAGATGCAGAAACACTTCATCAACGAGAACAAAGAACTGTTTCAGCAGAGTCTGGAGGAGCTGGAGGCGTCCACGTCTGCTGCTGCGGACAACAGGTACACCTGGACACACCTGTAAACACCTGTATACACCTGGACACAACTGTATACATCTTTATACACCTGGACACACCTGTAAACACCTGTATACACCTTTATACACCTGTATACATCTGGACACACCTGTATACGCGTTTATACACCTATATACATCTGGACACACCTGTATACGCCTTTATATACCTGTATACACCTGTACATACCTGTATACGCCTTTATACACCTGTATACACCTGTACACACCTGTATACGCCTTTATACACCTGTATACACCTGTATACGTCTTTATACACCTGTATATGTCTTTATACACCTGTACACACCTGTATACGTCTTTATACATCTGTATACACCTGGATACACCTTTATACACCTGGACACTCCTGTATACGCCTTTATACACCTGTATACACCTGTACATACCTGTATACGCCTTTATACACCTGTACACACCTGTATACGCCTTTATACACCTGTATACGCCTTTATACACCTTTATACACCTGGACACTCCTGTATACACGTCTATACACCTTTCTACGCCTGGACACACCTGTATACACGTCTATACACCTTTCTACACCTGGACACACCTGTATACACCTTAATACACCTGTATACACCTGGGCACACGTGTATACACCTGGGCACACGTGTATACACCTGGACACACCTGTATATACCTGGACACACCTGTATACACCTGTATATACCTGTATACACCTCTATATACCTACATACCTGTATGTGCCTGTATATACATACCTGGACTGGGGTTGTCATGAGAACCAATACTTTGGTACCAAGCCAATGCCAACACGAAAAAATACATTGGCACCTGTTTTTTTTTTTGGTTTTGTTTTTTTTTCAATACCGGAAGTACCGGATACAACTTTGCCCTCATCGGGCCGTGTCGATTCCTGTCAGAACTGACGGGGGCAGTATACGCGTATCAGTCTTTGCAGAGGATGTGTGCCGAAGAACGCCTGTTTTTTATCGTCTTTTGCTAGAAACAATGGCTTCTACAAGTGCTAGAGCTTAGATCGGGCCCAAAAAATCCAGCCCAGCCCAAACCCACCCGAGCCCAGGCATGTTCTGTCCAAGCCCAGCCCAGCCCTTTAACTGTAATTATGAGCCCGAGCCCGTTTTAAACCCTTTTTTAAGGATACGAATGTGGACATTGAAGGCTGACTCTCGTCTTTCTTTCCATTGCAAGCCTTCGTCATGTGCCTCTTAAGTGTCGAGGTCCCCATCTTTTTGTTGTCATATACCAGCATCACGCTGCACTTGGTACACTCGATGAAGCCGACACACACTTTGTCACTGTCGATCACTCAAATGTGCGCGGCCAGTGGCGCCATCAAGGGGGGGCCACGGCCCCAACCCCCAGGTATGATAAGTAGTTGGTTCCATAGCCTAGGCCTATTATGAGGAGCCCGACCCGTCCAAGCCCGAGGATAGTTGTGGGAAATTACGGTCGGGTTGGGTCTGGGTTGGGTTCAGGCTCGGGCAGAGAATCTAAGCTCTAACAAGTGCTGCTGGAGCCACAACACCTCGGCTTGTCGAAAAGTCAGGTAGTAGGAGTGCCTCCTAAGTTTCCAGACCAAAGGAGGAAACTCTTCAAACCTGGCTAAACACTTAACAGTCACACCTGTTCTTCTCTATGGATTTTCCCCGCAACCGTTCGTCATAACGAGAAGCCACGTATCATGTGAAATAGGGGAACCGCAGCTTTCCAACAAGACCAAGCACTTGTCGGTAGTCCAGTGTTTTCACAACAAAAAGAAATGATGAAGTTACACTAAAATGATGTATAACAGAGCTTTCATACAGCTTTGCACACACATTACTCTTGGATGGATTACTCGCGAATGCAGGCTCGCATGAAAGCACAGGACCAGAGCTTTCCAGTGATACCACACACATCATTGTGCTGTCATCCCATCACGCTATAAATCCAGATCAATTGTCTACAAAATAAAAACCTGACGAATTTCTTTACAATCCATTATATAGATCTTGTTATCAGTCACTTCATATAGCGAGGAATAATATTATTACTATTTTTCTATGATCTTAGATGTAAATATTGCATGTTTCTTTCAGATAAAACACATTTTTGACTTGTGAATGAGTCAATGGAATTTCTTGCAAAAATGAAAAAATACTGGTAATCATGTCCGCCTGGCACAAACCACATGTTTTGGACAACTGTGAAGTGACAGAATGTCCCACCATCATGGTTCTTATATTGCAAGATTCCAGAGAGTCTCCCCTCTTCATATATGGAAGAATATGTCTACTTCCAACTTGCTATGATGAGATACATGTAAAAATGTAAGAATTTAGGCACACAGAATTGTTTTTTTCATTGATATAAAAAATAATATAAAATACAGGCACATAGAAGGACATGGAATGATGGCAAATCTGGTTAGCCCTGATTGTCCTGAAAAAAACAAGATATAGCATGTGTATGTAGCCTTTATAATGACTGTGATATGAGCTTAAAGGTAAAGGCAGTAACCCAAAAAAGGCCTAGGGCCCATAGGGTTAAAGAATTCAAGGTGAGTGAGTTTGAATTTCTGTGTTTTGATTTTTGTCGTGGCATCGAATGAGTATCGAGAATCGTGGAAATTCACTGGTATTGGTATCGACTACTGAAATTCTGGTATCGTGACAAGCCTAACCTGGATACACCTTTATACACCTGTATATACCTAGACACATCTGTATACACCTGTACATACCTGTATGTACCTGTTTATACATACCTGAATACACTTGGATACACCTGCAGACAGCCGTGCACACAGATGTGGTGTAGACACACAGGTGATGAAGATTTCTCATCTCATCCGAGAATATTAAAATGATGTCTTCTTCTGCCCCCCCCTCCCAGTCCTCCCAGTTCAGACTCCACCTGTATCTCACAGGTGTGTGTTGGTCCCAGGAGGGTGGGCAGAGCTGAGCGCCGGCAGCTGGTGACCTGCATCCTGTGTCAGGAGGAACAGGAGGTCAGAGGTCATGGCAGAGCCATGGTGCTGGCAGCATTCGTCCAGAGGTCCACAGTTCTGTCCAAAAACCGCCGCCGCAACCTCCCTGACCCAGGTGGGCGGGGCCTCAGTATGACATCAGTAGGACAGCAGCCAATTAGTGTTAACCAGTGTTGATTGACAGATGTGTGACTGTGTGTTTCAGAGCATCACAACCCACTGTTCATGCACCCTGACCTGTCTCTGGGGATCCACACCGCCAGCTGTGGACACATCATGCATGCCACCTGTTGGCAGAGGTGAGAATCTGCCGCCACACACGGGACTGACAACACGCCATCATTCAGAGGGCGAACATCAAACAGGAAATACTCACCTGTCTGTGTGTTCAGGTACTTTGAGGCAGTGCAGCTGAAAGAGCAGAGACGACAGCAGCGTCTGCGAGGTCACACCAGCTACGACGTGGAGAACGGCGAGTTCCTGTGTCCACTGTGCGAGTGTCTGAGCAACACTGTGATCCCCCTGCTGCCACACACACACTCACCTGACCACAGGTACACACTCACCTGACCACATGTACACACTCACCTGACCACATGTACACACTCACCTGACCACATGTACACACTCACCTGACCACATGTACGCACTCACCTGACCACAGGTACACATTCACCTGACCTCAGGTACACACTCACCTGACCACATGTACACACTCACCTGACCACAGGTACACACTCACCTGACCACAGGTACACACTCCGGACCTCAGGTATACACTCACCTGACCTCAGGTACACACTCACCGGACCACAGGTACACACTTCGGACCACAGGTACACACTCACCTGACCACAGGTACACACTCCCCTGATCTCAGGTATACACTCACCTCACCACAGGTAGACACTCACCTGACCTCATGTACACACTCACCTGACCACAGGTACACACTCACCGGACCACAGGTACACACTCACCTGACCACAGGTACACACTCACCTGACCTCAGGTACACACTCACCGGACCACAGGTGCACACTCATCTGACCTCATGTACACACTCACCTGACCACAGGTACACACTCACCTGACGAACAGGTACACACTCACCTGAGTATCTTTTTCTCTCAGTGTCGATCATCCCAGTTTGGAGGCGTGGCTTAAAACGACCAATCAGCAGATAGCAGCACTACACTTTGCCCACAGGAAGCAGTGTGACGGTCAGTTACCTGTCAGTCATTAAGAGGGGCGGACTCATATGATCCAGGTCTGTGTGTGTGTAACTGTGTGTGTGTGTGCGTGTGTGTGTATTTCAGGTGTAGCAGAGGGGGCGGAGCCTGCTGTACCTGAAGGATTCAGAGTCGACTTCTCTCCACAGTGAGTCAGCACTTGTTTGTACTTCTGTTGTTCCTCTGTACGTCTGTCAGGACATGATGTCAGCAGGTGATGATGTCACTGTTTCCCTCAGGAACCCGTTCTCCAGCAGCGTCAGTGAGATGATCACCACGTTCAGCATGTCCACGTACAAGGTGGGACTGAAGGTGAACCCCAACGAGCAGGACACCAGAGTCCCAGTGCTGAGCTGGTCCACCTGCGCCTACACCATCCAGAGTATAGGTACACACACACCTGAGAGGTCATAAGGTACACACACACCTGAGAGGTCATAAGCTACACAGACACCTGAGAGGTCAGAGGTACACACACACACCTGAGAGGTCATAAGGTACACACACACACTTGAGAGGTCAGAGGTACACACACACACGCACACACACACACACACACACACACACACCTGAGAGGTCATAAGGTACACACACACCTGAGAGGTCAGAGGTATACACACACCTGAGAGGTCATAAGGTACACACACACCTGAGAGGTCATAAG